ATATTTTTTTCTTTTTTTTTTTTTTTGGTTTTTTGAGACAGGGTCTCAACTATGTAGTTGAGACAGAACTAGAACTCATTATGTAGCCCAGGGTGGTCTCAAACTCACAGTGATCCTCTTGCCTCCCGAGTGCTGGGATTAGAGGTGTGTGCCACCATGCCGGGCTCAAAGTCAATCTCTTAATTTTAACAATGATATTTTTCAGGAGAGGAAAGGCACAGTCTTGCAGTTTCATAATCCACATCATGGGAGTGATATCCAACAGGAGAACTACAGACTGGTCTTTACTAAAGACAGATCCATTTCCAATACTGTACAGGTATGAATATGCAGTATGATCAGTTGCTTCAGACACAAGTCACAAAGACCCTGGTTCTGACATGACTTGAAACTGCAAAGACAATTTTAGTGCCTACAAAATGAGCCTCAAGGAAGTGGATCACCTCTACCATGGAACCAACTCTCAAAATCATCACTCCTAAAAAATTAATATTAATCCTTAATATAGAGTATCCAATTAATGTTGAAATGTCACTATGTTAAAGAAACCCAGTCTGTTACCTGAAGAAATTCCCAGTGTGATTTCACTGACTAAACTTGCTCACCTCTAACCTGTGCTGTTTAACACAGGGGGCCCCAAGTCCCAGGATATGAACTGTTACATGTCGTGGCAAGTTAGGAACTGGGGCCACATGGCAGGAGGGGAGCAGCAGGCAAGAGTCAAAACTTCAGCTGTATTTAGTTAGGGCCTGAGATCCACCTCCGATGGCACTAGATTCTCACAGGAGTATGAACCCTACTATGAATTGTACACATGAGGGAATTAGGTTGCATGCTTATGAGAATCTAATGCCTGATGACCTGAGGTGGAGCTGAGGTGGTGATACTAGCACTGGGAAGTAACTGCAAATACAGATTGACATTAGCACAGAGGTTTAGCACGGAGACCATAATAAAACTCATATCAAAATATTATCAGTGAACAGCAAATGGCAAGCTACATCTTTTGGCAGCGTCCCACACTTATTTTAATTTGCATGTGGCCTGCCCATCATTTTATTTATGACTTCTGTCCAGATTCTCATGCTGCATACTTGTCTTAATCAGTTTGTAGGTCCACAAACTAACTCCAGCCAAAATGGGTAAAACCAAACGTCACTGGAAAACTTTGAAAAGGTAAAAGAAAGATCCAAGGATTAGGCAATGGAAGACTCTAAGACTGCCAACAAAAAGCCGCAGTTAAAAGAAAAACACCAAGATTCTCACTTAAATTATGGGTTCACTGCAACAGATGATTCATATTCTCCAAGGCTGCTTTATATAATATGTGATGACTGGTTTCTAATAAAGTCATGAATCCTTCAAAAGTGCTTCACCACATGGAGACCAAGCACCCTGCCTTAAAAGATAAGTTGGAGTTTTTCAAAAGAAAAAAACCATAAACAGGAAGAACTGAAGCAATTATTGAAGGTTACGTTATGAAATGTGTCTGCACTGAAAACATTCTTGGTGGTTAACTGCATTGCTAAAAAGCCCATCACTGTTGGTAAAGAGATGATTCTGCCTGCTGCTGAAGACAACAGTTGTGAGCTTTTACGAAGAGCTGCAGTTCAAAAGGTGGCACATGTTCCTCTTTTGGCCAGCACCATAAACTACACAAATTGATGAAATAGCAGAGGATATCGAGGCACAACTTTTAGAGAACTAGAGTCACTGTGGTATGCAATCCAGGTTGAAAGGTCCATCAAAGTTGACAAGAAGGCAACAATGCTTATCTTTGTACAACAGTTTTCTGAAGGATGTGTATAAGGGCTCACTCTCTAGATTGAGAAAAGATTCCAGGATACCTGACTGAAATGCCAGTAGCATCTCTACATGACATAAGGGTGAAAATAGAGACCCACTTAAAAGGTACAGCTTCCAGGTGAATTTGGCTGGGACTAGAATATAGCAAAGGGAGGTGTTGAGAAGTGGCTGCATTTTCAATATATTTTGAAGGTGCAGCTAACGGATTATCTACAGAATGTGCAAGAAGAAAAAGGATGACTCCACTGGCTTGATCATTTGTTGAAACTGGGTAGGCTGTAGGAAGAGTAGATTTTGGAATGGGGTTATAATTAGCAGTAGTCTTTGTGCTGGATGTGGGAGTGAATGCCTATAATCCTAGCACTTGGGAGGCTGAACCAGGAGGATGCAATATGTGCAGTTTATTTTCCCACCAATACCACTGTTGCAGAACTATTCAAGTCTTTGAATGGTAACATACAACCAAATTGGTCAGTTTGTGGCAGCAATGTACATATATGGACAGAACAGCTGCCCTGACTGGATGGCCTTTTGGTTTCACTACTTGGATTAAAGAAGCCACTGCTGAATGTAAGGCTATGTACTCTATGACCTAGAGAACTAGCTACAAATGCGACCTGAACTTAGTATTTTTCAGTATGTGCTTAAAATCACATGCCCTTTACTTACACACATTCATATAGCTCTGTGAAAAGATGGACATAGAGCACATGTGTCTTCTTTTATACGCAGATGGTGGCTTTCTAAGGGTAAATCACTGGGCAGAGTTTCTGAGTTATCAGAGCTGCTCTGGGTATTTCTTCTACAAAAATAGGCACTACTGGCAGCACGTGCAGTGATACAGAACAGGCTGCAAAAGCTGTGTTCTTGTGTGACATATTTAACTTGTTCAATGAACTCAAAACCATCATCACTTTAGGAGAGAATGATAAATGTGTTCAGCAAGAAAAGTGGTTGCATTCAAAGTAAAATTGGGGCGCTGGGGGGGGGCTAGCTAGAATTATGGGCGTAACTAGTGTATGTTGCAATTTTTTAATTCTTAAGAGCTGGTAATCCTAGCACTCAGGAGGCTGAGGCAGGAGGATTTCCTCAAGTTCATGGTCAGTCTAAACTATGTGAGTTCAAGGCCAGCCTGTACTACACAAAAAACCAAACCAAAACAACAAAAAAACATTATCTGAGATTTTGAAAGAGATTCAGCCATGGCCTTCTTTCTCCCAGCTGGTGCACAATCACCTATATCAGGTTCCAAAACTTTAAACATTACTTCTCAACCATAAAGACATCCCCCAATTGTAACCGAGAAAGCAGGTGAATCAATTCTGTCCATGCTAGTAGAGGATCAACTGCTTGACAATGTAAATGATGATGGCCTTAAAAGGATGCTTGAAGCCAGGTGTGGTGGTACATGCCTGTAATTCCAGCACTACGGAAGCTGAGGCAGAAGGACTGCCACAAGTCTGAGGCCAGCCTGCTCTACACAGTGAGTTCAGGGCTAGGCTGAACTACAAAGGGAGACCTGCCTTAAAAAACAAACAAAAAGCCTCAAAATAAAACACCCCCCCGCAAAAAAAAGTATTCTTGAGACACTTCAAATCTCCTTTCATTCTGGTTTGAAGATGGAATATCCTGAGACAGCCAGAAAAGCACTTGAAAAACCTCATTTGATTTCCAGCATCTTATCTGTGGGAAGCGGTGACAGCAACCAGAATGAGACTATTGAGTAGACAAGCAATTCACTTTGGGTGACTGTCCCCCATTAACCCTAAATGGGACCATATAGTTGAAAGAAAACAAGTTAAGCCCAGGGCTTCTATTGATTCTGTATTATGGTAAATTGTGTAATTATTTAATTATACTGCATATTACAATGTAATAACAATAAAAACAAAATACACAATAAATGTAATATGCTTGAATCATCTAGGATCCCTCCATCTGGTCTGTGAAAAAACTGTCTTCTACAAAACCAGGCCCTGGTGCAAAAAAGGCTGGGGATCTCTGGTTCAATCATTGCTTGTCCCCTGTACTTCTATGACTAGTTCTGTCATAGACCTATCATGTCTAGGTAGCTGTTACATTAGCAGGCACTGATAGAATAATATCTAGGACTGCCAAGATTCCATCAAGGATAGGAAATGGTAACAGTTTAATCGTTCTTCATTTTTTAGATGAAATATTTCTGTAATGAGCAACTGCCTCCCACCAAACTGTACCCAGAAGTATAATTTATAAAGAAAAAGGAGGATAGTAAGACCGATTCTTTTTTTAAATTTAATCTTATTGAGTTTATTGGTACTTTTTAAGTATACAGTACAGTTACATTCATCATTGGGATCTTGTACCTTTACATGACCCAATTAGTTTTTTTTAAGTATTCATTATAAATCATGATTTTAGTACATATTTGTCACATTATTATGTCTGATTCTATACCATTATCTCCTTTTCCCCAGTTTAAAATAACTATTAGTATTTGGTTATTCTACAATTAGGCTGCTTCTGATGCACTGCTCTTCTCCAATTTTTAAGCTGCCACAGGTTAACAAAATGCATAAAAAAGAAATGGCAACAGGATATAAGAACAAAATTAATTTTCCCAAATTTCAAAACTAATGCTAACTTTTGTTTTCATGTGATCCCATAGCTTTGCTTTTGGACAGCTTTATTTGGAGAACTAAGTCATCTAAATAAATTGCTTCCCTTTTGATCCCCACACCCCCACCCTTCTAAATGCTCAAAGATGGTACATTCAATTTAATTGATGCTGCTGGGCACAGTGGCACATACCTGTAATCCTAGCCTGGTTCAACTTAGGGAGACCATCTCAAAATTTTTAAAAAAGACTAGGGATATAACTTAATGATAGAGTGCTCCTGGACTTGATCCCCAGTACATATATACACAACATTTTAAAGATGCTGATTATAATTAGCATGAAAATTACATGAAACTCACAATATACCTCATATATATCTTTATATCTCTACAGCATTACTATAGGCCATGATGGTCAATTAATATAATTTTATGACAAACTGTGCTCATTAAAGGCTTATAGGATGGCAACTAAGCCTTCAATGAACTTATACGATGTTGTACACAAGGAAATTGAAGGCAGTACATAATTAGTGCTTAATTACCATAAGAACACAAAAGAAGAGATTTATTGACAGACTAGAAACACTATTCATAATAGGCCATTTTTATGCTACAATTTCAAAACACGGAAGGGCCAGGGATCTAGCTCAATGGTTCTGCCATCTATCTTGCAAGTGCAAGGGCCTGAGTTCAATCCCCCATACAAAAAAAAAAAAAAAAAAAATTACATGGAGGAAGGGAAGATCTTAGCAGAAGCATCAAGAGGAATAAAGACACTACATTGAAACAAGAATATGTAAGGTAGACTGAAAAAACTGAGCAATCTGGAATAAAGCCAGGATTAGGCAATGTTCAGGAGCTATGCTATGAGAGAAAAACCAGAAAAACAAGTACTTTTATTGGCTGATAGTATGACTACAGAATATCAAAACATTCAACCTAAAAAATATAGTTTAGAAAGATATCCCAAAGCCAAATTAAGCTATTTTTCTTATACAGCAATTGCAACAGTGTTTTCCACTGATAAGTACATAACCAGCTGTCTTTTTAAGCAACATGACATGATAGATTATTTTTAGTAAAGAAAACAACTCCTATTCTGTTGTATACAGTGTAGAAACAAAACCAGGAAATTATTACAGATTCTTTCTCTCTCAAGAAATGCAATCTAGTGCTGGGCATGTAGCTTGGTAGTAGACAGCTTGCCTAGCAGTCACAAGTCCCTATATTCAATCCCCAGTACAGGAGTGGGGAATTGTAGCAGTGGCTCAAGATTGTATGTCTCCTCCCTGGTCTCTAGGTTCAATTCGCCTAAAAGAAAACAGTTCCTCTGTCTGTACTGTGAAAATGGTGACAAAGATAGCTGACAATATTAAACCAAGTTAATTACATTCAACATACTCAAATCCAAATTTGCTTTCCAATCCACAAACCACATATTTAACAATCCTAACTCAGGTAATGTAAGAGTAACATGATCTAGGTTTAGTGATATCATTTATTTGACCTATTAGCATCCATGATTCTGCCTTCTTCAGAGGTTATTACAGTCCTTTTTACACAGCATCTTTTTTCACAACCTTCCTACGCTCACACCTGAAACCACAATGACCAATGATTAAATCTTTAGACTCCAGCATTAAAGTGTCTTTCAGAGCTGTATTTTTTACTGTACATATTCAAAGTGTAAAATCTGATGGTTGGATACACACATACTGAGTGAAATGACTACTATAATCAAGCACTTTGTCCTGTCCATCACCTCCCACTGTTACTTTTTCTTTGTGGTAAGTACCTAAACCATACTCCACAAAAAAAAAAAAAAAAAAAAAAAAAAAAAAAAAAAAAATTTTTCCTGGTACCAGGGATCAAACTCAGGACCTTGCACTTACGAGGCAGGTGGCAGCACCACAGAGCTAAATCTCCAGCCCTCCATAAATTTTAAGTACATACAGTACTGCATTAACTGTATTTTTCATGATGTGTACAGACTTAGTCTGCAAAACATCAAATTTTTACCTTTGACTTACCTCTCCCCAAACCCTCTAATGAATGTTCTATACTGTACGTGTATCTGGACTTTTAAGATTACAAATGTAACTAAAATCATGTGGTATTTTTTCCTATGCCTGCCCTTTTCCCTTAGCATCTTCCTTGTTCATCCATGTTGTCACAAATAGCAATATTCTCTTTTTAAAAGGCTGAATAATATTCCATCATATCTATTTTATCTATATACACTACAATTTTTTTATCCATTCACCCACCAATGGATATTCACTCATATCTTGACTATTGTGACTAATACTGCAATAAACACAAGAGTGGAGATTTGCCTACAAGGCACTGATTTCATTTTCTTTAGGTATATACCAGCAAGAGGTTACTGGATCATACTGCTGGTAGTTCTTAATTTTTTTTTCATAATGGCTGAATCTATATTCTCACCAAAGGTGTTTAGGGATTCTTTTTCTTCACACCCTCACTAATACCTCATTTGTTTAATAAAAGCCACAATGACAAGTTTGAGGGAACAACTGATTTTGATTTACATTTCCCACTGAGCACCTACCTATGTACCCATTAGTTGTTTTTATGTCTTCTTTTAAGAAATACTTATATAGGTTCAGTGCCCATTATTAATATTGCTTAGTTTTACCTATTGGGTTGTATGTTATTTATATATTTTGGATTTTGACCCCTTATTAGATATATGGCTTACCAATATTTTCTCCCAAACTACAGGCTGCCTTTTCATTTCATTGCTACTACTCTCATCTATTTCCCACATACCAGCAGAGCTTTGACTCAGAGAGATTTGATACCATAAAAGCACCAAAACACTCAGCAGGGTACTCAAGGGCATCCAACTGAGCTTTTCAATCAAATTTCCATTTTCTCCCCTTCTCTTAGCTACAGACTGTATTATATCCCTCAAGATTAAACATGAGAAAACTTCCATTCTTCAAGATCCAGCTCAAATGCTTCCATTTCCATAAAATCTTTTCAGAATACCTAACCAAAACTCACCATTTTTTCATTTGTAGTCACACAATGGAATTGTGTGTCTCTCTAACAGAGCATCAGTCTACCTACTTGTTACCAAAAGTTAAAATTATTTTTAGTCTTGGCATTCCATGTGGCATATGTTCAAGTAGATGTTGAACACTTTTATGACATATTTGAGTCCTGAAATGCAAGTGTGTACTTAATAAATATTTAATTAGATGATGTACCAATACTCATTTAATTGTTCATTTACTAACCTCATAATTTTCTACTTCTCCATCTTCCACATCTAATTCAAAGCTGAAAGTTGGGCCCACGGCGGGTGGCACTGGCAGCATTGATCTGCAGTGAAAACAACCACATAAGCACTGGTATCTTAGTATATCAATTCAATGAAGAGGACAGAAAGGACTAAAGCCAGTGTAACATGGATGAAGAATGGTCAGTTAATCAGTAGCAACTCGAAACAGCTGAGTTTGTTAGAAATAAAAGCTGACAGTAAAAGCATACCATTCACTATAGCATTAAAAATAAACATAGGGATAAATTTCACAAAACATATGGAAGACTTATAAAAACTTCAAAAACAATGTTAATATACCAGGTAAGTAAATTGTAAGATTCAATATTGTTATCATTTCCCCCAAATGGATCTGTAGATCTGATATAATCCATACCAAAATTCTAGCACCATAAAAACTTTTTTTAAAAGCTGCAAATATTGACAAACTGAATAAATGTATGCATTTATTTATAACTGGTGATACTAGGGATCAAACTCTAGGCCTCAGGCTTTGAGCATACAAGGCAAGCAATTTACCACTGAGGGAGCTACAATCCCAGGCAATTATTTTAAATTTTATATGGAAATACAAAAGACTACAAATACAAAGATTTTATGAACAAAGCTGGTAGACTTGTACTATGAGTTTAAGACAGGCAAAGAAAAAGGCAAAAGAGGAAAAAGAGAGGGGTCTAAAACTATCAGAACAATGTGAAAACAGGCACACAGCTTTCTCATGTTAAGATTACCTTTCCTATGTTTCTTAAAAAGTAATTAGACATGATGGGCCAGGGTTTTAGCTCAGTGGCACCATGCCTGCCTTGCAAGCACAAGGTCGTGAGTTCAATCCCCAATAGTGCAAAAAGAAAAAAAAAAAAAGTGATCAGACAAGAAACTAAATTCTTGCCAATGAAAGAGGCAGGAGTATTAAATGCTACTTCTATGAATACCCTCAAGAAAAGCAGGTAGGCGGAGGGACTAACTTCTGTTAGCTGAAATATGGAAGTAATGGCTAGATTCCAAGGAGCTATTACAGACCACAGACAAGAAGCCCTAAGGTTGTGAAGATGGTAAAACCATTTCTCACAGTCACAGAGTTAACCAATAATTCTGGAATTGCCTTCTCCTGGACTTCACTATATGAGAAATAAAGAACTACCATTTTAAATCATGAGGGTTTGTTACAGACAAACATAATCCTAAAATAGAAGTTCTAAGGTACAGAAATAACCTCTTAAAGCCTTTTCCTCAAGAGAAACAGTATGAAATGCTGGATAGTCAAAGTGATTGCAAGTGACACAAGCTGTAAAATCTCTTCTGCCTCTTCATTTGTTAACTTATTTTCTAACTCACAGATTTCTTCCTCCCACACTTCTCCCATGTCCTTGATCTCTTTTACCCTTATCTGGCTCTCCAACCACAACCCCTTAGCATTAAGCAAAAGTAATACCTAACAAACTACAAGTTGTAGACCACAGAGAAGGTATTCACAAAGCAAAATAACCTCAAAGTTTCTAGAATTTGGAATTCATTAATAAGAAGGAACTTACAACACATATGGTAGTAGGCTGGGATGATAAGGGGGAGGTGGTATTGGCTGCTGGGATCGATATCTACTACGTCCTGTGAGCCTCCGAGGCATGAATGGAGGATAAGGCTGTAGGTGGAAAAATGTTAAAAGAATTTAAGATCATTTACAATTATAAATAATTAATCTGTCAATAAAGCCTCTTGGTTTTTAAAAACTTAGAAAGCTATTTATTGTTCAAGTGGTACTTAATATTTCTTAAATGTTAATCTAGATCGATCAAGCAGTTTAAAACATATATAATTTTCCAACTAAAGGCTTTCAAGAATACATTTAAAATTCTGAAAATGTTCAGAATTACAGTGAAACAACTCAGAACAAATAAATTGTCAAAATAATAAATATAACAATATATAAAAACTTACTACTCCAAAAGACACCTCCTGATGCAAAGGATCATGTGTTAAGAACTGCAAAGGAGCTGATGGAGGTAATGTTGGGGGATGGGCTGATGTGGGATAAGTAAAACTTCCTACTTGAAGATGTTCTCCTAAGAGTTCCACTTCATTTTCTATCCTCTGCAGAGGCTGTGCAGAGGGAAGGAAAAACAACATATATGTTTTCTGTTTGACTCATTGGAGATTTTATATATATATATGTATATATATGTATATATGTATGTATGTATGTATAATTTTTTCCAGTGTTCAGATCAATTTTGCTTTATTAGTAATCAAAACCTAAGAATCCAAAAAATATCTTTAAGGCCATGCATCTCTTCATATTCACATTAATCCAATATTCACACAGGTGGGCATAAACTATAGTAAACTCTTTCTACCTTTAACTCCAGTAAACTAAGTCTGTGAAACATATTACTAGATTGACATTATCCACTAAGGGATACATTTTATTATTGAAACTTCCTCTTAAAAGGAGAGGGAAAAATCATATAGTAAGCCAATTACATGAAAGTTAAAATCACTTTTACAGTCTTGTCATTCCAACCTACTGAAAAGATATTCAGACACAACTTTCTACAGCTGAAATAGAGTGTAGTGTATATTTATAAATCAGAAACACGCCTAAAGGGGGTATGATATAGTGACATTGTGCTGCAGTAGACAGATTATGAGCGTTGACATTAGACAGAATCTTGGAACTATCACCAATCAGCTATGTGACTTTCAGATAAATCAGTCTGAACACAGTATTGTCATTTATAAACTGACATGTTAACAGCCTACTTCAAAAGTGTACTGCAAACAGTTCAGGAAGTACACAGTGCTACGTGATTTTTTAAAAAAAAAGTTTATAGAGATATAAGTTGCATATTATAAAAGAAGTACAACTCAGTGGATTGCAGAATGCTCACAGTCATATAACCATCACCATTAATTCCAGAATATTTTCATTAAATTACAAAGTAAACTCATGGAACTGGGTGCAGTGGTGTATACACGTATAATCTCAGCACTCAGGAGGCTGAGGCAGAAGGACCATTGTGGTTCAAGGCAGCCTGGGCTACACAGTGAGTTCAAGACAAGCCCTGGACTACACAGCAAAGCCCTTTCTCAAATCCATCCATCCATCCATCCACCCACCCACCCACCCATCCATCCCATGAGTATTAGTAGTCACTATCCATCTTCCACGTCACCTTTCTGTTTCTAAGGATTTACCTTTTCTAAACATTTCATACAAATGGAATTCATAGCTGTCTAGCTTCTTTTGCTTAGCATAATGTTTTCAAGATTTATCCATTTTGTGGACTGAATTGATCCTTCATTCCTTTTTAAGGGTGAATACACTCCATTAAAGATACACCATTCTTTGTTCATCCACTAATCAGATGAATGATATTTAGATAGTTTCCAGTTTTTAGCTACTAAGAATAATGTTGCTATAAACTTGTGTACACATTTTTGTGTTGAGGCTTTTGACTTAGTTCTCTTCAGCACATCTAATTTTACATGTTAGTGTGATTTCCTCTCAGTTACAGAACAACAACACATCCTCTAAATATAAGTAATTACTAATTTAGAAGCTTATGCATGCTTGGGAGAAACCACAGGGGCTGACAATATGACAATACTAGGGAACACAAGTTCTAATTTGACCATGCAAGTGGACCTTTCAAAGAATTCCAAACTTAGATACATATAATAGCTAAGTTTCATCTGAACTCTGAATTCTCAGGTATAGGAAGCTAAGATGAAAACATGTGACATGATCCCTTCATGATTTTAAGGAGTTTCTTATAGAAGCAGTTTCAGATGAATCAAACTTCTGTCATAATTGTTTCTAGTTTTCAGAAGAACAGTCAAGCCCACCCTCTTTGGTACCCAGTATGGTACACAAATCCCTAGTAAACAACTGTTAGGCTCTGAGCTAGTCTTCAACTGTAACGATTTCCAGATTATTTCTCCTGTTTTCCCTTATTCCCTCATGGTTCAGATGCTGAATCTGACAGTTTAAGAAACAGTTGAACCTTTTTTTCTATGATCTCCCTTTATACAGTACTTATCCACACCAGCACCCCCAATAATAGGCCTTTTAGCTTTATTCTATATTAATATATTATCTCATTTGTTTTCATTAGAATATGGTGGTAAAGCAGGCCTTAAAACTAAGATTCAGATTATGCCTAAATGAATAAATATTCTACTACTAAATATTAACAACTTTATAATACTTTCATTTTCCAATTTAGTTATGTACAAAAGGGGAAAAACAGTACAACTAAATAGGAATTTTCTTCAAATTTACTTTGTAAAGGATTGCAGACAAGGAAGATACCAAAAATTCAAATTAGACATGACATTAAGATAACTAGAAAAAAAATTGAAGAAACTAGGTGAATTGAAGTCAACACAGGGTTATAATCCACAGGGCTATAATTTGTACGTCTTGCTGCCACGTAGTCTGAATCACCAGTGGTACATGCATGACTGTCCCATCAAGTGTGTTAATTTTATTAGTAAAAACACTAATAAAAGTGATTAGATCTGTTTGTACTATCTGTGGTACAAGCCTCGCAAAAGACCCAGCCATGAATTACCAGTGGTAGTTCAAATGGTGGAAATATGTTAAACATGTTTATACTAATCTATATGTCTACAGATTCTTTAATTCTTTTAAGAATCACAAGAATGCCTAAGTTATATGGTACTTACATGGCAATAACTTATATTTACTAATCTGTCTGGTCTTAACATTCTGGGAAAATTAAAGACATGATAAAAAAATACTTACCGATCGTGATTGCTGTGTTTGGAAAGGAACAAACTGGCCTGGTGGTGGCAAATGAGGAGGATGATGGGGAGAAAGATGAGGAGGATGTATAAGAAATGGATCACTAGAAATAAGGGGTGGGAATGCAGCATATGGTACAGGTAAGTGCTGAACTGAACATGCCTGAAGCATCTGTAAAAGAAAACATTGTTTTTTGGTTAAAAATATCAGAATACATAAATTTTTAAAATACAATTACAAAAATACAACATTAAAATCATTGCCATACTTTCCCCTAAGTAACAGAAAAATGCTTTAAAGCAACTTACATTAATAAAATACTACTGTATTTTTGCATCTATTAATAAGTGCTGGTGACTAGTTTAATTAACTTTATGTAGTTCTTCCAAATCAGTCAAAACACCTTTCAGTCTTTCAAAAATGTGTGTGAAAGAAAAAGAAAAAGAAAAAGAGGGGGGGGTCCCTACATAGAAAAGGAACATTTTCAAGTTGGTTGAAGACGTAATAGTTACTACTACTACTATTCTAAGAAACTTGGCTTTTCAATCTTTAGAAATTCTTTTCTTTCCAGTATTTAAAAAAAAAATAAGAACACAATTCACAATTACTACTTTAAGTTGGCAAATTTAGCACAATGGATATTATTAAGAAACCTAGCTTGGGTAAATTAGTCTGTTAAATCATTGTGGATATGTTTGCTCTAATTTCATATTCAGACCAGGGTATTAAGAATTATTTTTTGCCAAGAGTTTTTCTTTGAACACTTTTAGTTAAGTTAGTTAGATCCTCTAGATTTCAGCACTTTGATTTGTGACATGAGGGGGTTGAAATATAGGTTGGCAGACTATAAGATAAACCATGAACTGTTTTTTGAGGTACCAGGGATCAAACTCAGGACCTTGCGCTTGCAAGGCAGGCAACACCACCACTGAGCTAAATCCTTGGCCCCATAAACCACAAATTTCAGAGGCCAAAAGAAGCAGATGTGAATCTCTGCTCTCCCCATAGTAACTGTCTCTTTGACATTAAGCAAGTCATTTAACTTTTCGGAAAGCACCTAAGAAATGGGAATATTTCCATCCATGATTGCTATAGTGAGAAACAATACCAGGTCCCCAAAGTGTCCATTCAAAATCAATGAAGTGGTGAGAACATTCACTGCTGGACATTACAGTTCTGTCCATATGCCAATCTTTATTTAATTTTGATTATAAAATGCTGATACAGGAATAGACATAGTTTGACCCGATATTAGAATACACATAAATTAATATATATAACACTTTGAAGCTAATTTTGTTAAATGGCCACTAAAATCATGCTAAATTCTGTTGCAACAAAATTCACCTTTTACACAAAGTAAAGATAGACTCTTAAATTTTGTTAGATTACATAAGGCATTTATGCCACTCTGAAGAGGGATTTTGAGCTGTAAATCACAAAACCAAAATTGAGAACAAAAGCACAGACTTACTGGAGGAGGCACACTACAGACAGGGAGGTGTTGTCCACTAAAAACCACAGAGCACCCTGGGACCTGTTGTGTACTGCAAGCAGGGATGTGCTGGCCTGTGCAGAGTGGAATCCCGTGTGGTGCCACTGTTGTCACTGTATAGGAAACAGGGACTGTTCCTTGATGAAGCTATCAGGAAAGAAAATTAATATTTCAGCTATTTGGATACAATGTTAACTATTAAAAACAAATTAACATTTGGGCACTTATTAATACAACCCTCAGCTACATAGACTTTCACAAGGTATTTCCTCCAGTGCTTTTATTTTGAATCAAGGTCTGTCTATGCAGTTAAGGCTGGTCTTGAACTCACTAGGTAGCCCAGACTAGCCCTGAATTCATGATGATCCTCCTGCTTTAGCCTCCTGGGAGTGCTGGGATTACAGGTAGGTGCCCTCCATGTTTGGCTTCCTCCAGTACTTTCAGCTAGAGTATTTATTGTTTTTATATAGGAAAGCTGAATATTCTAGCGCATCTATGATCCTGTCAGAACTAGCTAAACTCTTCCCTCAGAAAGACTTGAAAAGTCCAAGAGAATATTCTACTAATACTTAAAACTTATCGCCTGCCTTTCTGTAGTGCAGAAAACTAAATTTAATAAGTAATTTTTATAAAAATGAAAGCTTATTTTTGAATACCTACTAACATTCTATAAAAAAGATTTCTGTTTAACTGCAACTAGTGAAACAGTGGAAAGCAGTACTAAAAAAATTAAATTTGGACTAAAGATATAGCTCAATGGTAGACAACTTGTCTGGCATGTGCAGGCTCTGGGTTCATTACCCACCATCACCAAAACATATATACTAAATTATCACCTTCCCTTACAGCCAATCTTCCTCTCATCCTTGCTATTTTGAGGCAAACTGTTAATAACATCTTTCTACCTCTTTCTCTGTGAGCATACATAGATGAACATATAGACATGATTACTATATTTTTGTTTTAACAGAAATATTACCCTACAACTTTTCTTTTTCATTTATTATTTTATTGTAGATGTGTCTTCAACTGTTTTTACTGTACAGGGAATAGGGGACTGTTCTTATACAGATCTTTTTGACACTAGCCAGGCATTTCGAGTGTACCTCCTTAACAAAGTGCTATCCTAATACAGACATTCAAGTTTTCACTCTTGTAAATACAAACACAACTATAAAAATTTTATAATATTAGTAATTTTATTTGTTTTAAAGGCATTACTAAGTAAAGGGGTGAATGTACTTTATGCTTTTAAAGATAATGCCAAAGTACTCAGGAAGCTAAGGCAGGAAGATTGCTGAGAGTTTGAAGCCAGCCTGAAATATACAGCAAGTTCGTGTCTCTGTCTCTCTCTTTCAATCAAGAGAGTAATGCCTAATCACTTGCAAAAGTCTGGTGTAAGTCACATTCCTATGAGGGCACAACTTCCCAGTCTCTCTACTCAAAGATGAACTGATTACAAGCATGCTTACATATCTGAAGAGTGAAAAAATGGTAGCATGCTTGCTTAATAAGTTGCATTTTTTGTTAGGTTTAATATCTTTCAATAGTTTTCCAGCCACTTAATTTTATTTTCTGTAAATAAGCTATATCCTTTGCTCAATACCACTTTCTACTTTGTCAACCATTTGCAGTTGTTTTTTAGAGATATGAATCTATTGCTTGTCTTATGTAACAAAAATATTTTCTCTGCTTTTATTTTTTGAGTAAACTCTCTAATGGTATCTTTTATGTTTATGTTTTATGTTATAATCTTTTGAGTCAACTACTTTATCTTTTATAATGTTATAATCTTTTTGAGTCAACTACTTAATGGTGTATTTTTGTCTTTTATAATCTTTTTTTTTTGGTACTGGGGATTGAAGTTGGGTCTTTGCGCTTGCGAGGTAGGCAGCTGAACCACTGGGTTAAATCCCTGGCCCTATAATGTTACAATCTTAAAAATGTAGTTACGGGATAGTTACTGGGGTTCTTTTTTTTTTTTTTTTTTTTTTTTTTTGGTGGTACTGAGCATTGAACGACTTTGCACTTGCCAGACAGGTGGTGGGTTTCCTTAATTGATGAGGTTGTACAAATATGCTCCTAAACTTGAACTGTATTAAGTTTTCTATTATTTCATAAAGAATTCAAAAGATTATACCACTACAGCTCTGTCCCCTTTAGGAAATTAGGTTTTTTGGGGGTTGGTTTGTGATGCTGGACAAACTAATGCTGAGCCCAAAGCCTTACATCCGTTAGGCATGTGCTCTACCATAGAGTCATACTCCCATACCAGATATATAATTCTTTATTAAATCATAACTTCCTCAGAGCTATAAATTTTTAAGTTGTATTACATTGGTAATAGGTTATTTTTCTCTGTTTGAATGTTAAATCAGTACTGGTATTAAGATATCAATTTTTACTGATTAATCTGGAACCTAGCAACATTATCAACGACTATTTTTTATGAGCAGAATCCTGGGCTGGTGTATAGCTCAGTAGAGCATTTGCCTAGTATGCACAAGGCCCTAGGTTTGATTCCCAACACTGCAAAAACACCGCAACACAACCAAGTAGGTATATTTTTTTTCCTGGGTATACATTTATATCTGCTGATTTAACTTATTTACTTTTCCTTGTTCTTTTTATTGGAAAGACAAAACCTTCAAAAATAATGCTCATAGGCACCTCTTCAATATATGACTTTAAATGTATGCTGAATTTTACCAATATAACTACTGATATCTCATAGTTTTTGTCATAAGTACTGTACTCTGTATTTTACTGAATCTAAAAATGCCATCAATTTTATGATCATTTTTTATGTACTAAGGAAAATGTCCCCAGTGAACTGAACACAATGCTTTGTCACTAAGATTTTCTTTTCTTTTTCTTTTTTTGCTGTGTGGGACAGGGTCTCACTATGTCACCCAGGCTAGGCTCGAACTTAAGATCCTACTGCTTCAGCATCCCAGTCTACCAGGATTATAGGTGTGTATCACCATGCCTGACTTACTTATACATTTATTAAATGCCTTTTAATTGAGATCATATAATACTTAAGTATTCATAAGCAAGAAATTTAGTAAAATAAGTGGTTGGTACCAATACTTCTTTACTTTCAGAGTCCAACTCTGTGGAATCCTTTTATAGTACATCTTTTTCAGTAGACCATTTTTCCACAAGAGGTTCAACATCATCAAGGTTGGTGATAAAAGTATTTCTCAAAACAATCCATAAATGAAATAAAGTGAGGTTTGTAATTACACAGAGTTGGTCTACACTGGCTTCTGTTTGAGGAATGATGTTAACTCCCTTCTACAAATGCAATTACCTAACTCCTATGGACTAATTACAAGAAGTCTGATGCTAGGAAATACACAATGTTAACTGTGCTAGAATTGCAGCTTGGTTAACATCAAGATAAAAATGCTATTAACTGTGAGAGGAATCTCAACCTCAGAGATGTTAAAAATGAAAATAGTATATTCTATAATTTTGGCAGTGTTAGGATTGAACCCAGGACCTCATACATGCAAGGCAAGTACTCTACGTTATTAGGTCACTTTTGCATTTTTTAATCTTTTTATTTTGAGGCGGGATCTTGTTTAGTTATCCAGGCTGGCCTCAAACTTGTGATTCTCCTGAACCTTCATGTAACTATCATTTAGGTCAATAAGCAGAATACCACCAAGACCCCCAGGAAGTTCAACAAGGGTTTCCTTCCTGGTGAAAGTGACTTCGTCACTTTCTAATCCCCCTCACCAAAAGAATCACTATTCTAATCCTTGCGGCAATCTTTCTGTTTTTCTTTATGGCTATACCATGCAGGTATGAATGCTGACCTTGTCTTGTTGGTTAATTTTTTTCACTGCCTTCATGGTGCATGCCCATAATCCCAGCTACTAGGGAAACAGAAGTAGGTGGTGATAAATTTGAAGCCAGCCTTAGAAATTTAGCAAGACCTCGTCTAAAAACAAAACACAACACTGAGGGTGAAGTGCAGTGTCAGTGGGAGAGCATCTGCCTAGCACATGTAGGGCCCTTATTTCAAACCCTAGTACTAACCCCCTCACCAAAAAATAAATTGTCTTGAGTTTTCCAAAGCAATTATATTATGTTTGAACTCCACTGGTAATAAAAGTTTTGATCTTTTTTAGATTTTTACCTCCCATGTTGATCTGAAATGGTATGTCATGGTGGTTTTAGTGCACTTTTTCCTGATTACCACCCTCTTAATATGCTCAGTTGACTTTTGTACATTTTATAAAGGAATTGTTAAATTTGGATTATACTTTGTTTTAAAAGTATGCACACTTTTTATGTTCTAGAACTTAATTCCTTTTCAAATATGGTACTATGAATATTTTCCTCCAGGAAGTAACTTTCTTCCCCCACCCGCCTTTTTTCTGTGTGGTATTGGGAATTGAACCCACAGCCTTCCCAGTGAGATACATTCCTAGCCATTTGTTGTTTGTTTTTAAATTTTTCAGACAGGGTCACTAAACTGCCCAGGCTAGGCTCTAATTTGGGATCCTCCTACCTCAGTCTCCCATAGTATTAGGAACTGGACCCAGATCTAGCACTGAGCTATATCCCCAGCCCTTTCAACTATTTATTTTGTGACAGGGTCTTGCAAAGTTGCCTAAACTAGGCTCAAACGTGAGAGCCTCCTGTCTCAGACACGCTGCTAGGATTATAGGTGTGCACCAACACACCCAGATCTCTCTCTCTTTTTTTTTTTTTTTAACTTTTTAAATATTGTTTTTTGGTAAGCAGAAGTTTTTTTGTTTTTGTTTTTTTCTTTTTGGTTTTTTTGAGACAGGGTCTCACTATATAGTTGAAAGTGACCTGGAATTCACTATGTAACCCAGGCTGGTCTCGAACTCACAGCGATCCTCCTGCCTCAGCCTCCCAGAGTGCTGGGATTACAGGGGTGTGCCACCACGCCCAGCTCCTAAGTTTTTAATTTTAATGAAATTTAATAAGTTAGTATTTTATGAGGTGGCTAATGCTTCATACATCCTGACTAGAAAATCTTTATCTCATACAGATTTAATCTTTAATAGTTTTATCTTTCACATTTAGGTCTAGAATTCAACTTGAATTAATTTATAAATGATATGGAACATGAGACAAGGTTCAAACTCATCCAAATGAATACCTAGTTGTTCCTTCATCATTAACAAAGACCATACTCCTCCTTGAATTCCTCAGGATTCTTTGTCAAAAATTAAGTTATCAATAAACACTTATTTCTGACAATGACCAAATTTATTTAAATGTAATTTAATCACTAGTTCTCTGTAATGCTTTTGCTCTTGTGTCTTCCCTGACGGCCATAAAACTACCTCTGTAACTTTCTTTAAAGCTTAGAGTTTTGCCTTTAACATTCAAATCTTCAATCTGCCTGAACTTGACTTTCTGCGAAGGATGTGAAGTAAAGGCTCTAGAGTTTCATATTTTCTTTTGGATACCCAACTGTCCCACCATCACTTATTTAAAATCCTGTCTACCAATTCATTCACTATCATATATCAAATACAAAGTATTCATAAATGTGTTGGTTTATTCCTGGGCTTTACATTCTGTTTCATTAGCATATATGACTATGATATAAATAAAGGCTTTCATTACTATAGCTTTATAATGTCTTACAAATTGGAGCAAGACTTGGTGGTGCATACCTGCAATCCCAGCACTTGGGAGGCTAAGGTAGGAGGATCTCCAAAAGTTCAAGGCCAGCCTGGGCTATATAGCAAGGCCCTATCTCAAACAAACAACAACAACGACCCAAACAAAACAAAAAACATAAAGCATATATCTTAAAAATTGGAAATATTACTGTCCACCTTGTGTTTTCCTTCAGGATTACACAACAGTGCCTAATTGCAGTGTGCATTAGAATCACTTGAATGGTTGTTATACTTGAATTGTGGGCCCCATACCCAGATTCAGTAAGTCTAGGAAATAGTTCAAGAATGTGTATCTCTAACAAATGTTTCAAGTGTTGCTGCTGCTAACAAGCTGATTCAGATCACAGTCTAAAAACCATCTGTTCTAGAAGCTAGACTCTTACTCCATTGTCATTTGGTATTTAAAAAGTCAGAAAGTGAGTTATTTTAGGTTTGAGGGCCACTGCTTTCTCTCTATATATAGCCGGAGAGACAGAAAGAAATGAGTGCGTGGTTGGTTGTGTTCCAGTAACTTCATAAAAACAACTAGCAGTGATCTGCTTTCTCCTTTAAACTGTTGGTTAAATAACAGGATCAGCACTTTAAGTTACAGCAATAAATCTATTGGAGATTTATTTGGGACTTTATGAACTCTATACATTCTATATATCAATTCTAAGAATTGGCAGCTTTTGCAAAATTGGACCTTCCAAGTCGAATCATTTATCATTTAAAAAGTTTTCTTTAAACTTCTTCAACAGTGTTTTATAACCTAAAAAGAGGCCTTAAACCACTTGTGTTAGACTGATTCTTGCCAAGTGTGGTGGCATATGCAAAAAAAAAAAAAAAAAAAAAAAAAAAAAAAAAAACATTAATTTTTTTGGTTATATTTTTCTTTCAATTTTTTTAAATGTGAAGAATATAAATTTCAATTCTAAAAAGGAAGAAACAAAATTTCATGTAAAAATCTACAACAAAGAATCGTAATGAACTACCACTGCCATCACTGTACCTGATCATGTATATCAACCATTACTGCATTCTGCTGGGGTGGGTGAGCAGCAGGATGTAACAGACGGGGAGATACATTCGGAGGGTGGAAGGCTCGAGGTTCCTCTATTGCTTGCTGCTGTGCATAAGGGAGATGATGATAGTTTTCATCTTGACTAATAGAACTATGCCGAGATAGACGATCCCTTCTTCCTCTCTGGCGCCTGACAGGAGGACTGTAATACAATAAATGTCAAAAAGAAGGTCATTCATATGTTTATTATTATGATCCATCAGGATTCTGTATTGTTACCTATCAATAGTATGCTAAGTTTAGCTTCACTTAAATTACATCAGCTCTAAAAATTAACAAATTTTAAGTATAAGTTTCACCAATAATTTTCAACATGCATAATTTGAATTTACAGATTCCATTTTCACTTTAAGGTATGTATTTAACACCTGAAAAAGACTTAATATTGATGAGGCATACATCACTGATGTAACTTTCTTCTTTTTATACACAGAACAGTCCTTTGAAATATTTGTATAAAGAAACATTTAAATGTGCCTATACGTGAGTTAGTATAGGTAGATGCATCTTTTTGCTGTCTCCGTGAGAGTGGAAACAGACAGCACCTTATCTTGGGTTCTAAATACTGTTCTGCAATAAAGGACCTTGGCTCTTTGCAGAATTGGTTAATTTCAGGGTTGGAATAGGGAAAACTACAAGATGAGACTGGAGCATGCTGTAGGACTATTAAGGAAGCGGTAAAAAATGGGGATATAGTGAAAGATTAAAGAGCACAGGAGACAAACTCAAAGTGTCTCCAGTACAGTTAGAAACAAAGGAGCTGAGTCACTCCCTTGCCTTCATGCAACTGTAAACGCCACACCACCCTAATGATTATCCATGCTTCCATCATCCTAAAAAGTATTAGTTAGAAACAGACTGCGATCCACTCCCTTCAACCATAAACACACCACCAGCACCCCAATATCCAGGCTTAAGCTTAGGAGGTCTTGATGCCAGGGACAGAAGATTACTGACATCAGTGAGACAGACAGTGGGATAGGGGGCACCTTGGATCAGTGGAATTTGACCCTATATAAATACCGGAGGCCTGAGTCTTGGAATCTTTTTCTCCCACTTTGCCATTTTACTGCTGCTGTTATGCAATCTTCAATAAATGTAGCTTACTATGTACAAGGTATACACTTGACAATTCTTTCCTTGTTGTACAAAAGAACTCAGACTATTTTTGGCTTACTCAATTGTAACACTGCCATTAAAAGAATTCAAACAATTATTCAAAAATAAATTCAATGACTCTCAAATTAATCACAAAATGTGAAAATATGTGCGCTTTAAAATCAAAATGGATTATACATACTCAGATCATACATAACCTTAAAAAACCCAACCTGAGCCAGGCATACACCTGTAAGCTTAAGTAATTTGGGAGGCTGAAGGAGGACCACAAGTTTGAGCCCACGGTGGGCAACTTATTCAGATCCTGTCTCAAAGTGGGGCTGTGGATGTGGCTCAGTGGCTCCATACCTGCCTGGCAAGCACAAAGTCCTGAGTTCAATCTCCAGTACAGGGAAAACAACAACAACAACAACAACACCACTGCGTAAATATAGCTCAGTATGAAGTCCCTGGTTTCAATCCCTAGTACCACCAAGAGGTACAAAAAACAAAAAAAAACTTGTCAACAAACCTGAAAAGACTCCTTTTTACTGTTTTTTCCTCAAGATTGTTGCCATTTGCTGTTACTTCCCAACTCAAAAATAATTCAATAGCTCTCAAACTAATCACAAAATAAGATCTAGTCTTTGTGCTGAAATCTAAGTTGCTTCATGATTTTGACCCTTATCTTTCCTTCACTGCCCATTAAATATAAAATATCACATACACTTGGGGGCAGAACATTTAAGATGCAGAATTATTACCCTGCTGCTTTAAAGTGTACCCTTCCTGAAATTTGGGTTTTATTATTGATCTAAAGCTCTTTGGCATCGCATTTTTTGTCTTTTGTTGGACTTAGTTTTCTAGCTATGTCATCTATTTAAATGTGTAGAAATTATATATTTTATTCTTCTACTGATTAATCTTAATTTTCAAGCAATACATCCATTTTTCTAAAACTGTCTAATAGTAATCTTGGACAAGAGAGAATACAGACTTTTGTTTTTTTGTTTATGCCCACCTCTTGTTCAGACCTTTCCGTTTCTTTACAACAGAACTTTGTATTCATACTCGGCAGCAGTATGTCTTTTTTTTTTTTGCTAACTAATGGTCTTGACCTCTACTTCTTGAATTTATTATTCTGCTCTCTAGAGAGTACAATGTTTATGAGTACCTAAATGTTCAAAAAAGCTTTTATATTTTGACATTATACTTAATTAATCAGCTAGCAGAATTCAAAGTAAAAAAGAAAAGCTTTCTCATAACTTTGAATATTTTAATCCACTGTCTTCTTATTGGTATAGTAATGCTGCTAACAAGAATCTTGCAGTCAACTTGGTTCTTATTTCTTTATTTTTCACCTCAGAATGTTTGTGATTTTTTATCACTGGTGTATGTTCTGAAATTTCACCATGATCCTGCTTAACACTCCAATTTCTCCAATTCTAAAAAATAACGGTATATTATTTGTTTAAATAATTTCGAGTATTAACTCCTTCTGGAAATATTACTAGACATTTATAACTGATAGCTGTCTCCATATTTAAATTTACTTTCTCTTAGCCAGGAGTATCACTGTGAGTTGGAGTATAGAATGGATTACATGGTGAGATCAAGGCTAGCCTGAACCACTTAGCAAGACCTTGTCTCAAAAGAGAAAAAAAAGACAGGGAAAGAAAGAGGGAATAAATTAACTACCAGTTGAGATTACAAGTTGATTTTTATGGATGCAATATAATTTGCATTTCTCTCACATTATACTGTCCTTATTCTAAAAATTTTAACTTTTTCTTCAAGTTCTCTTGTTAAATGAGTTTCCTGTCTACCGATTCAATTTACTGCACTGTGTATCTTTCACTTTGTTTCCTCAACTGTTTTGGTCACTTCCTGGTTTTGTGTTCACTCTTATATTTGAAATCTTATCTAATCTTTAAAAGCTGCATCTTCTTATAGTCAAGCATAGTGGCACTCTGGGAGGCTGAGGCACCTAGGTCACAAGTTGGAGCCCAACTTGGGCAACTTCAGGAGAGTAGGTCTATAAAAAGGACAGATGAGCTGGGGATGCAGCTCAGTGCAAAGGCCCTAGATTCAACCCTTAGTAGAGCAAGCAAACAGTTTTTAAATAAATGAATGAATAAGTACTTACTCCTCCTTGTGTCACTATGAATGAAAAGAATGGTGCTTCTCACTAATTTAAGAACTCATACTTAGTTACTATTGTCATCTGGAAACATTTCTAACAATTCCTTTGTGAGGCAGAGCATTTCATACAATCTAGCAATTCTACCCCTAAGCTTGTATCACGGTATAATCATGTGTAAAATGGCATTCATAGTAAAATGGTATATATCTTTTTATCAACTTTTGCATATATACTTGAGGAGATTTGTATCTAGTGTTACAATTTAGATCTAAAATACCTTCCCCAAAACTCTCAAGTGGGGCTTTTGGAAGGTGACTAGATTAAGAGGGCTCTAACTTTATCAGTGGATTAAACTGATGGTAAGATCATAATCTGATGGTATATTGGGGAGAAAATGGAAACTGAGGAGGGGCCTAGTTGAAGGAAGTGTCACAGGGCATGACCTTGGGGGCTGTATCTTGTCCTTAGCCCCTTCAATTCTGGCTCTTTCCCTGTCTCTTGGTTCCTAGCCATCAATATTAAATCTTTCTATCAGGATACTGCTGCCTTACTAGTCCTAGAAACAATGGATTCAGCCCACCCTGAACTGAAACCCCTGGAACTATGAGCCAAAATATATCTTTCTTCCTTGAAGTTGTTTGCTGTTTTTCTTGGGTATTTGATCACAGTGATGAAGAGCTAACACATGAAGGTTTCTAATGGTACTCTTTATAAACAGTAAGAAACTGGGCATAACTATTAACCAATAGTAGATGGACACATAAATTGATTTACACATGGCAAAAATAAATGAACATTGCCACCAACATTAAAAACAGAATGTTTCATAAATAAAGTCAATGAAGAATACACTTAAAGGAAAATAGGACAAATCCCAAATCCCACTGTTTAAAAATATATTCATACTTATTAAAAACTATAATGAACAAGGAACAATGACAAATTTCCAGAGTTTACTGTCTGGGAAGGAGGTAATAATGGGGGGAGGGAGAAAGCTTTTGAAGAGATCAATATTCTACCTTAACTGAGGTGTACATACATGTGTTTCTTAACCTTTTAACTAGTTTTACATGTTCTGAATGTATAACATAGTTCACCATAAAATATGAAGAGTCTATACAGCAGGTGCTCAGGCTGTAAATGTACATAATAATGTTAATTTCCTCATGCTTATTATATTTAACAGCTATAAAATACTTCATATGATAGCCATATATTATTTAACTTAAATATTTCCATATAATCATTGGTAACATGAAAGTCTTTGTGTCACTACAGAATATAACTCAGACACAGGCTTAGTCTCATATGTAATGCACAATAATGATTTTAAGATCACCTTATTAATCTGCTCAGGATACCATATAACAAAACACCGTAAGTTGGGTGGTTTAAACAGCAGCTTATTTTCTCAAGGTTCTGGGATTAAATTTTAAGACCAAGCTGCCACCATGGCTGGTGTCTGAAAAGGAGTCTTTCTAGCCTGCAGACAACCACCTTCTCACTGAGTTTCTACATGATGGAGACTGAGCTCACTGATACCTCCTTTTCTGAGAGTCTCACTCTAATGCTTTCATTTAACCTTTATTACTTCCCCAGAGGTCACACTGCTAAATACAACACTAAGGGTTATGGCTTCCACATATGGATTTGGGAGATAAACAGTAACACTTTCCTAGCTCAAGATTGTTACTATTCCTTTGATTACCAACATCCTGGACATGCAAACAGGTATCTCACATACACGAGACACTATTTCCCTGGAATAAGAAATGTCTGATCTCAGGCAACAAGTAAAGAGTATGATGCTCAGGAAGAAATGCATTCCTGAGAGGGCAAAGGGCAAGATCCATGAAGGACAGGACTAGAAGTGGAAATAAACTTCAGTCATTCATAAGTAATATAAATATCTTAACTGCCTTATAGAATAAAGAAGGAACAGGAAGCTAGGGATTTAGCTCAGTGATTCCACTGCCTGCACAAGGACCTGAGTTGGATCCACAGTACCAAAAAAAAAAAAGAAGGAATAGGAATAAAGTGGAGAAGTGGTATCCATTTCTAAGATCTCTATATTTCTTTATAGTTCTGAATGCAGAGTGCATTTTTCAGTAATCAGCATTGTAAACTAGTCCACAAAGTCTTAAATCATAAAGCAGTTGAATTTAGGTAAATTACTTTGGCATCTTTCAATTTCTTAATTTCTCATTTACAGGTTAAATGAACCATTAAAACCTACTGCAAGAATAACTTAAAATGTTTTTTGTGTGAATGTACATGTATTGATATATTTATGAAATGCCTACATTTCTGATGTTAAAAAATACACATCATCTACCAACGGAAGAAAATTTAAGAAGTACTATGATCAACTAACCTTCTTCTGTTGCGTGCAGGTGTGTTGCATCGTTCCCCTGAGAAGTGATGTTGGCTTGGTCGAACTGAAGGGGGCTGCCTATTTGATGTCATCTCCCATGGTCGCATTGGTGGTGAGGGGGCTGGCGAGGCCGATGTATAATCAAAGACTGAATGAGAGAGGCGCTGCCTCTTAGGACTTGGACTATCTTCACTCTGCCAATGCAACAAAATCCATCAAAAGAATAAGACCCTTTAAGGATTTCACATTACTGCCTATGCACAGGTGCTTATATTTACCCTAAAACTGTAAAGGAGGGTATAACATGCATTATCAATTCAAATTAAAAATCTTTTAAAAAATATTTGGGTAGGGGTAAAGAGGCAGAAGGGAAAGGCACAGTAAATATCAAATGAAAAATGAACTGTTTTTAAAAATCATCATAAAATGTCAGTTAATAACATATAGATATACAACAGTGCAATAAGCTTTTATATAATACCTGATCTCTTTAAAATCCTAATGTAACTAGACATGAGATGAGCAGTTTTGCTCTACCAATGCTACTGGCCATGATGTGCTGGTCCACCACAGGCCCAAAAACAATGAAACCGACCAAGCAGGAACTAAGACCTCTGAGACAAACTAAACCTTATTACTTTATTGGAAAAAACAAAACACAAACTAATCCACCTGAGAAATTCCATTATGCTGTCTTCCAGTTATTAGTCTTTCATGGATTCATGGTCAGTCAAGAGTTCAGTTTAGGAGGATGTCCTTCTGAGCAGGTCCTCAACTTGATTCTAAATCATATTCCCCTCCCACATTACTGTTTAGGCTATTACACTTATATTCCTTTAATGATGGTTAAATGGCTAATATAAGACTTTTGTAAAACTGATAAACTGTCAACTGATCTAGATCATCAGTCTTTAATTGGAATGTCACAGCATGCTGGGAGTATTGTCAACTTTTCAAGGGTTACAGTATTCTCTTACTAACTATAAAATGGATGATCATTTAATTGCATTAATAAGTGTCCAGGATTCCCCACCCAAATGAATTTCCCAATTGAGTCTCAATTTGATAGGAATGTGTTTTCTAATAGGCCTCTTCTATTTCTAAACTACTCACATGCTCACTTCAGCAGCACATATACTACTTCTAATCTACTCTTATAAATTCTAATCATTCGGGCACTACAGTATTTTTGATTGTCAAATTTGTCTGCTGTAAACACAAAAATTGTATCACAACGTTAGCAAAAGAATACAGTATATAGTGCTACATATTATAGTGTTAAATTTGTAAGAGACAATCATATAGCCAGGTGTGGTAGTGGTAACCAAGAAAAACTTGGCTATCATGGCTTTTCCTCACTACAGCCTGCCCTGTCTTCTCCATGGTGCTCTTTTATCTTGCTTTTTCCATTTTTACATGGCCCAAGCTTACTCTGCAGAGTCAGTTTCTCCCCCACTCTTCACTTTTACTTTCTTGAATAAACTTTATCATTAAAAAAAAATCCTGTTTCAAAAATTTAAGGTGGAGGGTGGTGCTAAGCAATAGCTTGATATGACCTCCAGTACCACTACAACCACCAAGGGGAAGGGGGATGGGGAATAGAATTTCTCTATTTATGCAACTTCACACATGACTTAGTGAGACCCTGTCTCAAAATAGAAAAAACAATTAAAAGGACTGGGGATGTAGCTCACTGTTAAGGTCCTGGGTTCAATAACCACTGTGGCAAAAAAGAATGAAACAAACTCCTAAATGGTTACATTTGTTCATTCTAAAAACCATGTCCCTTTTTTTTCTTTAAGAAATACTGTAATTCAACAGTTACAATTAAAAGAAAATAGTTTCGAAGCCACATTTGAAGGCATGCTTTTTCTAATTCTCCCTATCACCACACTAATTATGTTCTCTTAATGATGCTAATATAATACACTGTTTTGTAGGCTGGGGATTTAGCTCAGTGATGTGGCCGCTTGCCTCAAAAGTGTCCTGAGTTTGACACCCTGGTACCGCAAAAACAACAACAACAAAAACCAAATACTACACTGTTTTTACCCAGTTAGTAAGAAAACTAGTTATGATCTGGTAATCCCAAACTTTAAGAGCAAGGTAAATAACCAATAAAATTTAGACATTTCGATTTTTTAAAAAGTAGAATGTAGGGTCAGGGATTTAGCTCAGAGGTTCTGCCGCCTGCCTTGCATGGAGGACCTGAATTTGATCCCCAGTACAAAAAAAAAAAAACAAAATGTAAAGACCTGACAAACTCATACATAAACTATGCATGAACACCAGAAACAGGCTATCTCAACAACTGATACAACAGATCTAACAATGATTCTTTAAAGTAAAAAAAGTTATTAACCAATCATGATCAACAGATTTCACTGGTGACCTACACCAGATACAATGGACCCTCAAATTATGACTGGCATAACATATGAACAACTCGGGTTAATTAGGTTAAAGGACCTAATTCTGCCTCTTGTTATCTATAGCACATACCCTAGTGAACATCCAGATCTCAGCTGTACTGACTTACAACCAACTTGAGTTATAACCAGCCCTCCTTGGGAACTGATAGAGCTTGTAAATCAAGGGTCCACTGTACTATACTGCAAAGCCTGATGGAAGCTATTACATGGAACTTTCATTTCTAAAAATTCATGTCTAGAATGGGGCAAATGCTACAGATTCACATGTTAAAAGTCAAATAAAATGAGAAAGCACCTAAGCTATAAAGTTTTACATATTTTCAGTGATGTTCCCCTCAGTACTGTGATGGCTTCACAAGGGTGAAAAAGGTTAAGAGGTGAAGGGAGGTAAGCTATTCATTAGTGCTTTAGTAGTTTTTCTTACTCAAAGTTATAGAAAACCAAGATAGATACTTAAAGACAGGAAAACACAAAAAAGTAGTCTGCTATACGCAGTTAGTTTCATCACATCCCTCACCAATTTCAGTACACTTTAAGAACTCCAAAGACATCCTCAGTTTCCAGAAAACAGCAGAGAAACAACCTACAAAGAAACAATATTAGCACCAGACGTCTCACAGAAACAAAGGGTACTAAAAATGTTTAGAAGGAAAAAGAAAATAATTAAAATATTATACTCCAATTAAATTCTCAATCCAGTGTCAGGCAAAAACAAAGACCCTGCCAGATGTATAAGTCTCATAGATTTTCATAACTCAGAAATCTTTATTCAATTAATTTTAATTAATTAATTAATTAATTAATTAAGGTATTTTGA